CACACACACACACACACACACACACACACACACACACACACACACACCCACCCACACCGAGAACGTGAAAAAATGGGTGTTGCCATACCAACTCTAACAAGACTAATCAATTAAGGTGGGATATTATCAGCAGGAGGGGAAAAAACTTTTTGTAGTGATAATCAGGATGGCCCATTTCAAACCGTTGACAAGAAGGTGTGAGTAACAGTAGGGGAAAAATTAGCATGGGGAAATAGTGGGGTTTTTTTTGTTTGTTTGTTTTTTTAACTACAAAAGTGCTCCTCGTTGTTTTTGCTGATACAGACTAACACAGTTACCGCTCTGAAATCCATTACAGCTGGTAATTCGCTTCAGTTTGGCCCCATCTCTTTGAGTTCCTGTACAGTGCTCTTAAAGTATATGAAATAGGCTAACTGTGAGGAAGAGAGTGTGTGTTACTTTTTGACACATTTTGTTTAAATTCCAGACTAAAAATATCCCACAGCTATAAGCACAGACGTTTTAGAACTAAACCACCTGAAAGTTCTAATCCCTTGTGTTTTTTATTTAACCTCCTACTACTTGCATCTGTAAAATGCAGTAAAAAAAATCAATAACAGACAAAATACACAAGCTGTGAAGAATCTCAGTAATGGGAAGAGAGGGTGCAGTCTAAAGGGAGTGGGGAAGGCCTCCAAACTTTGCTTTCTATTTAGGATTGCCTCACAAATGCAACTATGTACATTTGGTTGGTTTTCCAAATATAGAAAGTATAAACTTATGTGATTAAACCCTTCCTTTCTTTACCCTTATCTCTATCCTAGCAGTGCTCTGACCTCTTTGTAAAGCACTGGAAGTTCATGATTTGCGATTCAAATTCTAACAGCATATCTTGCTAACTTGTCGAGCAAGGGAGTATCATGTACAGTGTGTAACTGAAGTAATGCCACTTACTTCATTTCAGCATGCTAGCCACTAGGTTCTGTGCCACTAACTCTCTTTCCACCCAACCTTTGCAGAGAGACTTGGACATCCAAGAACTGAAGTCTACCATTGTGGAATACTCCTCTGTAATCGAGGTAGAGTAGTGGGTTTTTCTTGTGGGAGCATTTGAGAAAATACAGATTTTTATAAGTTCTTATTCTGTATAACAAGTGAATTTATGAACTCTCTTTTGGTGTGATTCTAGACATTACGGGTGGAAAAAAATAAACTGGTGAATGATATGCAACAAATGCAGCAAGAGCTGATTTCGTGAGTATCTGAATTGGGAGTTCCAGTAACTTTCCTTTTTCTCAGGGAAAAAACTTGGTGGATTTTTATGTCAAATTTTTGCTGTTCTTTTCTCCTTCTAGAAATGGCATAGACTTCCCACTGATATACAAATTTAACAGCAGCATCCTTGAAGGGACAAATTCATTGCACAGTGAATTGGCACTTGCTCAACAATCTATAGAGGTATGAAACTTTAAGTTTGAACACTTCAAATTATGTACATGTTTTGCACCACTAATTACCTATATAGGAAGGACCCTCGTGACTCAAAACTACTGTGGGTTATGCACAGAGGACTCTTGGTTCTGAACAGATAGGCCTGGAGTCTGAAGTCCATAAATCACCAGACAAGTACTGCACTGGCAGCACAAGCTTATTACATGCAGCAGGACCATACCCATGGGCAGAGAATGAATGGGAAGGAAGTAGAGACGTTGGTTAGTCTGTCCAGCATCTAAGTTCACTTAAATCTTGGTGCCTCTGCTAAGCTTATCAGTGGGTGTCAGTTGTGGTGGTTTTTGTAATGTGGACACTTGCACAAATAGTTTGTTTACCCAAAAATGCAGTTTTGTCAACCCAAAACTGTTTTGCAAACTTGATGCAAATTCATAAATAGTTTTGCCAGGAATTTCTTCTCAGGACTTCGATTCCATTCATAAAACAGGAGGAAGGGAAGGAGGCCCAGTGGCTATTCGTTGTCAGCTTGAATGACTATGAATTGTCTTTGTGAATGACCGTGAATAGTCATTGGACCAGGGAAAGTAAGTGACTCCATAGCCTGGTAACTGAGGCACTCTCCTAGAAGCGGGGAGACCAAAGTCCCTGTTCCAATGACTCTTTGTTTATTAAAAGTGGAAAACCTTCAATAGGTGAGAGTGAGGGAGACTTATACCAGAATATCCCATAGCCCAGTGGCTAGGGTGCTCTCCTGCAGTATGGGAGACCCAACTTCAAATCCCTCTTCTACATCCAGCAAAAGAACCCACATCCCAGATGAGCACCCTGACCACTGGGATAAAAGTTTTTGTAAGGCGTATGGTAGTTCCTGCTCCTGCTCCTGCTCCTCCTCCTCCTCTTCCTCCTCCTCCAGTTGTTTTGTAAATCTAATCCTATAAAAATGCACCAAACGAAACATGTTCATCCAGAAATATTCTGTTTGACCCCAAATGGATTTTTTTTATTCATCAAATGTTTCTGCAGTTTTCTAATTTCATTTGACCCAGTTTTTTCAGTTGCCAGAGAATTGAAAAATCAGTTTTTTCTCCAACTCTACGGGATACACGACAGTTGAGAACACCAATGCGCTAGACTGAACAGCTATCTGAAGGGAGACACTTTTGGTTCTTGCCAGCCTGGGTTGGAGTCAAACCAACCTAGTGGCAAGAATTTGAGACCTGACTACCAACACCCTTGCCTTTCCAGTGCTCTGAAAGAGCTATTGAAAAATAGCTTCTGTGCTGTGTGGAGCATTCCTAGTTCCATTCCTGTATGACTTTGGGCTCCATGTGCATTAGAAGGACTGACTTTAGAGTACTGTCCTCCTTTTGCTTACACCATTGCTGCCCTACAGTACTGGCTTGTTACAGACAGGAACAGCTCGTACTTCTGTTACTGGTACACAGCCTTGTTAAAGGGAATCATTGCCATGGCATATAAAACCTATCTTTCCAATAGCTTGTGCAATGAAATCTTTGTCCAGCTACACTTTTAAAAGCCTTCCTAACAGCACTGACTGCCTCTAGCTTAGTCAGGGAGATGAGTCTGTTGCTCACTTTACCATTTTCTGAGTGCACCAACCGGGTGAGGGAGGCATTTGCAGAAAGAGACTGCAGGGAACTATGAAGTAATGTTAAAATTCACTGTCCCTTCTGTGGACTTGAAAGCATGAGGAATAATTGGACAGGCAGTAATCTAACAGGGAAAGTAAAATATTTCCCTATGCAGAAGTTTTGAACAGTAGCACCATATTATGTCTCAGATTTTCATCTTGTGTCAAAGGATAATAGCATGAGGTGAGGTCCTATTAAACCAAGTGTGAAACAGGTCTAGACTCCTTTCTATTCTTTGTCACCCCAGGAGTCCTAATACCCTATCCATTGTCCTGTGCGTGGAGGTGAGGAGAATCTGTGTGTGGAGTTGAGGAGATCTACCTCGCTCAGACCATTCCAACAACATTTCTAGTTCTTAAATCTCCATGACATGATGCATTTTTGCAGCCTTGATGGGCTTAAAATTCCCAGTAACTCTGACCGTCTGGTAAACACAACACAGTAGTACTCCTGAAAGTTCTAAATGTCACTGGCGTTGGCCTTTATAATTCAAAAGATATCAAGGGACACCTGTTTGGCTTTTTAAAAAATAAATAGATCGCTGGAATTGAATGGGCTGCTTTGGACGAAACATTGGACCGAGAGGTGCTATTGTTACTGCAAGGGCCTGAACAAATGGGAGAAAACTTTAAGGCTACCATCCAAAAACTGGTATGATATTGCATAAGTAACTATTTATAGGAATGTTGGGCTCTTTCAGATTTTTAGCCTTTTCAAATCATCCCACAGTCAATGTTTCCACATTAATCAATGGATAGAGAACAGGTCTCTTAGGAGCATCCTTCTGCTTTCCTGTAGTGGAAGGCTTCTCTAATTTAAAACAAATGCATCAACCAGATTCCCCATGTCTCACTCACTTTCTGCCTTGAGAACTGAACCTTAGAGTTATCATAAGACCGGAGTAAAGGGAAGCGCATACTTGTGCTGTCCCAGGAGCAACTGAGGGACTGAATTGGACCAAATTGTGATTGTCCCCCGCTTCCCCCTTACTACGGTAATCTGTTCCTGCCTTTTCCCTGTGGATTATTCCTATCCCTGCTGCACTGGCTCAGTTGTGGTGGCCAGTGCATAATTGAGTGCCGTGCACAGTTGAGGCTCTGTCACGGCCTACCCTCCTGTATGGGAGGGAGTGTAATTGTTCTGCAGAATCTGTGTGAAGGGAAGAGAGTAAACTGGAGATATAAATAGCCCATGCCAAGGTGCATAAAGTGATTCATAATAGAGACCTGAAGTGAGGCAGTTTTGGACGACTATATTTGACTCCAATTATCTGGAGGCAGTGCTTCCTGCCAGTTACTTTTATGACGCATCACTTGTTGGAGAAATTTCTCTCTAGTACTATATATAGTCTGATATCCTGCTTAGGTGATGTTGTGTAGCATTAAGTATATTTGATGCATTAATATGTATCTTTTCAGCAAGAGGAAGCCTCTGAAGCAGAGGAACTTGTTGTGACCACTTTGCAATGGGTTGCAGATCCTGAGGTGAATGTGAGGGAGACTTGTGAAAAAAAGCTTGCGGTAAGTAACCCTGCTCTTCAAGCCACATTATTTCTGAAGTGGTGGTGTTGAAGAGCTAAAAAGCTAAGGGAGGGTGTTTGGTGTAGCCTTCAGATGTTGCTTGAGGACAGAACGGATAACAATCCTAGAATCATAGACTTTAAGGTCAGAAGAGACCATTATGACAGTCTAGTCTGACCTCCTGCACAATACAGGCCACAGAATCTCACCCACCCACTCCTGTATCAAACCCCTAACCTACGTCTGAGCTATTGAAGTCCTCAAATCGTGGTTTAAAGACTTCAAGATGCAGAGAATCCTCCAGCAAGTGACCTGTGACCCAGGCTGCAGAGAGAGGCGAAAACCCCCCCAGGGCCTCTGCCAATCTGCCCTGGAGGAAAATTCCTTCCTGATCCCAAATATGGTGATGAAGGGCTTTCTAATTAAAGGATGGGCAGATTTTTTTTTTTTAAACAAATGGAACCCCTCCATTTTATACCCTATTTCTCCTCATTTTGTCCTTTCTTCTTTGGTATATTTGTCTCATTTGCTTGTGCTTATGCATTTACTTGTCTGAATGGAAGAGTAGATTGAGTGGTTTCATGAGGAAAACACTGTTTTCCTCCATACTTGCTGTATAAACCTGAACTCCTTCTACTCCACATACCATACTGACAATTCAGGTGTAATTTAAACATCTCAATTACAGCTGGTTGGAAAATGGGGAAATGGTTCTTCTGTGGCAGAAAAATTATTCATTAGCCAAAAACCATTTGACTTAAAACCAAATTTTTGATTTGGAAATGTCACCACAGTGCCTCACCCAAACTACAGATTACATATCCCATGCAACCATCGTCCGTAGGCTAGGGCTCCTTAGCCACACTACATATCCCATGATGCACTATTCTCCCCTCTTGCTATGTTGCTATGGTAAATATGGAAAGTATCTGATGGTGCTGTATCATGAGAGGTAGTTGGTCTGGGAACCCAACCTATAGAGGGAAATGGGGCATTTACATACTACATCAGCATTTCCAAATAAACTTTTTGGGGATTTTCAGATTTCCCCTATTTTTTTTTTTTTTTAAAGGCAACTTTCTGTAGAAATCAGACACTTTTTGGGAGGCGGAGGGGTGTACATGTTGTTGAAAACCCAACTTTGTATCAAAAGGTTGGATGGAAAACTTTAGATCAGACCTGATCTCAATAGCTCACCCAGGAATAGAGTTGCCTCTGAATCAGGGTCATCACCTGGGAAGACAAACTTCGACATATAGTCTTCTGCTTTTGTTTTTGTGGTAGTGGCAGCCTGAGGACAAGCCTCTCCTTGCCATGCCTGAATTTCCTATGAGTATGTACAAGACTGACTTTCACTTCCTTTCTCTCACCTATTTCCCCCAAACAATGTCTCAAATCTTCATTCCAGTGGGGCTTGAATTCTTGTCTGTTAATTCACTCCTTCATTTTAAGATGCTATTAGCAGCACTGCTCCTCCTGAAGACACATCCATGTTGTAGCAGTTGGAAATTTAGCGCTTGTCTACACTTAGGACACTGCAGCCGCACTGCTGTAGCGCTTCTGTGAGGACTCTACCTATGCCTCTGGGAAAGGTTCTTCTGTCGGTGTCAGTAAGGCACCTCCCCAGGAGGTGGTAGCTAGGTTGACAGGAGAATTCTCCCATCGAATCACCACAGTTTATGCTGATGATTAGGTTGGTTTAACTGCATTGTTCTGGGCTGTGGATTTTTCACATCCCTGAGCAATGTAGTTATACCAACCTAATATCCTAGTGTGGACCAGGCCTCGCTTACAGTAGAAAAATTACTCACTGCTCACAATAGGTGTCAAATAGGGTGACCAGATGTCCCGGTTTTATAGGGACAATCCTGATATTTGGGGTTTTGTCTTTGTATAGGCATCAATTACCCCCATCCCGATTTTTTTTTTACACTTGCTGTCTGGTCACTCTAGTTTCAAAGGAGTGAACTGGTGCTGGCCAAACTGATCTCTAAAATCCATGGAGTTACAGCAGGGATAAGCATGGCATTTTAACATGGCTGAGGTTAAAACCTGCAGCAGTAGGTAATTTTTCTAGTCTAGACCAGGCTTAATAGTTGGGTGTGTCTCCCTTCTGTATCACTACTGCCTGCTCGCTGAAGCATGCCAGTTCTGCAGTGGACATCCTCACACCAGACCTTGAACACTTCTGTGCTCCTAGTCCCTCTTGCATTCATGTGAAAGGGGTCCTCTCCAAAGCTAATGCACCCAGAGTGTGCCTGTTCACATCCTCTGGGGAGTTATCAGCGCTGTATAGTTGTAACCTTTTAATCTTAAGTAAAAACTCCTTTGAAAGGACTGCTGAGGCCAAAAGAAGCATGCTAGCCCAGCTCTTAAATGAGTTATCTTCTCCTACTTCACAGACTAAATCACACAAGGTTAAAATAAGCCTAAGGTTAGTACTGCTGTACCTATCTAGCTATGGGCGCTAAGACCTGGCCTACACTAGGAAATGAGGTTGGTATAACTCAGGGCTGGCTCCAGGCATCAGTCCAGCAAGCAGGTGCTTGGGGCAGCCAAGGGGAAGGGGTGGCACGTTGGGCTGTTCGGCGGCTATTTGGTGGCGGATCCCTCTCAGAGGGAAGCACCTGCCGCCGAATTCCCACCGAAGAAGAAAGCGGCTTGGTGGAGCTGCCGCCGGAGTGCCACCGATCACAATTGCGATCGCGGCTTTTTTTTTTTTTCCCC